ACACGAACTCTAACTCTCAATATCAACACTGGTATTTATTTTAGACATCTATTAGAACGATGAATGCAATCAACACCAACTCTGACTCCTAATGTCAGCACTAGGATTTTCTTTAGTCTTCTTGGTCTTTGATATCTTCTTGTCAAATAAGAACAAGCAATCAACCAAACAAACAAATAATCTCTTAAAGACATCACTCACGCTCACACCATAGAGCTCTTCCAACTTCAATCACATAATATTTTATATATATTGTATGTTTATTACATTGAATCAATACATTCCCTAAGAAATGACATCTATTTTTCTGTACCCCCATTGAATAAAAATTTTAATTTTAAAATAGCTTACTATTTGTATTAAAACAATTGTCATTTCAAATTATGACCCAAACCGTTATGTGATCCATGTACAACCCTAAGAAATGACATCTGTGTGTGTGTGTGTGTGTATATATATATATATATGGGAACAAGGTATCTACTCGCTGCCATCCCCGAAAGGGCGCTTGGCGGCGTGACTAATTCTCGGCTGACCTAGAAGAGGCACCCACCACAGAAACATCCTGACCCGTACTTGATTGGGCCCCACTTAAAAGATGCTGCCGCTCGAGAGAAATTGAGCACGGGTTGGAGGTTCCCAATGATGCTCGCCCACTAACTAAGCTAACATCGGTGGGTACATAATTACTTTAACAGAGTCAAACTTCATAATTTTTTCATATAAACATTCTATTGTCTCCTATAATTCATGACCTCCTACCTTATTTTTATACAAATGCTTTAATAAACACATAAATATAAATGCATATAGAGAGTGTGTGTGTGTGAGTGCAGCGTTACTTTAGCTGGCATTAAAACACAATTTGGTGGGCCTGAACTCTGAAGCCCGCCCTTCCTTCCATGGCTTGGTCGAACTAAAGCTTCCTTTAGCTCAAACTGTGTAGTCATGTGGAGGCGAATCTCTCTCCTCACCAAACCCCGCTTGCGCTTCACCTCCTCCATCCCAATACCAATCAATTTTTACAATAACCACCTCGCCAAAACCCTAACTCCTGCCTTTCCATCTCCTCTTTCGGTTTCCAATGGCTTGGAGCGGGCTTCCTTCAGTACTGCTATGGGTTCGTCGCCGGCAATAGAGAGTCTGTTGAAGCTGAATGATCTGAGGGATAACAAGGGGGCGAGGAAGAAGAAGAAAAGGAAGGGGCGGGGAATCGGGTCCGGGAAAGGTAAGACGGCAGGGAAAGGTCATAAGGGTCAGAGGGCGAGGGGAGGAATAAAACTAGGATTCGAGGGTGGCCAAACTCCCCTGCGCCGCCGATTGCCTAAGCGCGGATTCAAGAATCCATTTAGTCTTACTTTCCAGGTCACTGATCTCAATCTCAATTTCTACTTCTTCTTTTTTTTAATTTCTTTCAGGAATCAATTGGTTGCTTGAAATTGTAATACATGTTTTGAAAAATGGTGAAGTTTGTTATATTCATTATTCGGTTGGATGTTATTAGAAACCAGCATAGATTTAGATTTCATACTTCACGAAATGTCTCGAAGCTCCCTTAAATGTAATGATTTCATTTGGTTGCTTACCAAAAAAAAAATTTTAAATTAATGAATTTGCTACAGCCCATCCGGTTGAATGTAGTTAGAAATCAACGTTTTTAAACTCAACAAATGCCTACAAAATACTTCAAAATCAAAAGTGTTGTTTTTTTTTTTTCTTTTTTTCACACTCTAAATCATCTCTTTAAAACATGTTTTATATCTGCAAGCAATCAAATGAGCCCCGAGACACTTTTTCCATCTCTATACAACCAAATGAGTCCTAAGATGAATCTAAATTGCTTGTCTGCTGCGGAGTGCTAAATGCTAATCCATAGTGAGAGGTTTTTGATATAATGGGATGTTGTACTTCTTTTGGAATGTTTGCCAGGTTATAAGAGCAGATGTGACCCCTAATTTGGCGTTGGATGTTTCTTTTAGCTCCTACTAACCTATTGCACATAGTAATGGGAAAATCACTTTTGATTTTCTTTATCCTAAAACAGCAATTTTCTAGATTGGCATGAATGTTTATGCTTAACTGATAGAACTTGATATGCTAACCTGATTCCTAGAACTGGTTGCAACGGCTGATAAATTCTAAAGTTAAAAGTGAACTGGTTGCAGCTGGCCAAAAGGATATAGTTTAATCAACATGATTCATCACTCTTTATCATTTAGATTATAAAGATTGTAAAGTTATCCCGAGTTAAACTTTTATACCCAATATCATTTATTAGTTTTAAATTTCAAGATGAATGGGAGAAATATGAAAAATAAAGTAAAATATTGTCTTAAGATTAGATGGAGGCATTTAAAGAATATTAATAAAAATATT